ACCGCCTTCGAGCACTGCGGGACAGTATGATCTGTTTGTGTCCTTGATATCTGATCTGGTATCCTCTTGCAAATCAATAGCGGTTTTGGCGGGAAATTTGAATTTGGATATTGACTAGTCCAATAATACTGCTATGAATTCTAGTTCAAGAAAGTTTCTTTCTACTTTTGAGTCATTGAATATGATACAACATGTTCGATTTCCCATTCCCACTCGAGGAGATCGTATATTAGATGTTGTGCTGACAAATACAGAGTCTCTCGCAGACTTTTCCTTACATCCACCTCTGGGTGATTCAGATCATATGTTGATCTATGTTGTTCTATGTTGATTGCAAATGGAGAGCTTCCTGAGACCTCTTACTTAGACTTCAAGCATGCCAAAGTAGATCAGATCAAATCGCTCTTATCTTCTCTCGACTGTTTCGAAATTTTTGAAGGTTTCTTGGATGTAAACGATGTCTACACCCATTTCCTTTGTGTCTTACGTGCAATCATAAGTCAATATGTGCCACGTAGGACTCGTAGGCAGGGCGTAGTAGAATATGCGGACCACATTCGGAACCTATTCGACCAGAGACAGAGAATATTTGAGCAGTCTCGGGATCCACTGCACAGCGTAACTTTCAAAACGATTAACCAAAACCTTGCGTATCATTTAGAGAAGTTCATGTCCTACAGAACCAGATTGCTTTCTAAGACCAAATACATAAAGGGGATCATTTCTTATATCAAGGACAGAACAAAACGGTCATACTGTTAACCAGTGCTCATAGGTGAGGATGGATCCTTCTGCAGTGCCGATTTTGAAAAAGCGGAGGCCTTCGCTAGCTTTCTTCACAGTACTTTTTCTTCCCATATGGAATGCCACAGCAACCTAACAAAAGTAACTGATGAGAGCTTCCGTTTGCCACTTATCACTCCCGAGATGGTTGCAAAACAAATTAAAGCTCTGAAAACGTCGCAGTCGGTTACCTCGGACGGCATACCGCAGACATTTTACAGAATGTTTCCCGCCCATCTTTCCGTTCCCCTAAGCCACATTTTTAACATTTCTCTGATGACAGGGGAAATTCCTAATCCATGGAAAGCTGCAGTCGTTACACCTATCCCAAAAGGGAAGGAATCTGCAACGGTTAGCAACTACCGTCCGATCAGTATCCTCCCTACATCATTGAAGGTGCTTGAGAGGATCATTAAGAAACATTTGCTTGAATGGTTAGATCACCTAAATCTCATTTCCATAGAACAACATGGATTCCTAGCAGGATCTTCCACCTGTTCACAGTTGGTAGATTGTTCTTTCCGTTGGAACAAGGCATTAGGAGGAGGGAAAGGGGTGGATGTAGTTTACTTCGATCTTAGCAAAGCCTTTGATACCGTTTGTCATGAGTGCCTTTTGGAGAGATTGCGGTGTGTAGGCATAGAGGGCACTTTACTGAATTGGTTTCGATCCTATTTTGAGGATAGAAAGATGAGAGTGCGCTTCTCTCACGACTTTTCCTTCCCTAGGGAATGCCTATCGGGCGTTCCACAGGAAGGGATTTTGTCGCCTATACTTTTTCTCATATACACACACGATTTACCTGCTTTTCTCAAAACGGATACGAGGATTTTTGTGCATGCGTAGGCGAATGACATCAAAGTCACTGCAGTCTATAGTGAAACAGAAAAAGAAGCAGTTCAGCAGGCTTTGAGGAAATCTGTCAAACGTATGTTGCAGTGGACAAATTTTGGAATCTCAAACTCAATTTTCGTAAAAGTCAGCATCTTCCCATAGGATCGCTTTCACTGAAAGTTTATAACAATGAGCTAGGTGAATGTTGATGAGCAGGGAAGTTCGTGATCTTGGCGTGCTAGTTGCCAGTGTGAACTTTGAGAATCATATGACGCGGTGGCGGCCAAGGGCTTGAGGGTTTTGCACTGTCTTTTTAGAAATGTTTCGAGTTCTGGTCCTTTTCTTTGGATCAAACTTTTCAAAATGTTCGTGGTGCCACTGATTGAATACCTCGGCCCTGTATGGAGTCCTTATCGCTCCAAGGATATTAATAGAATTGAAAGTGTGCAGAGGACGTTTACTAGATGCTCTACTACTGAGTCTTTCCGGACCCAAGCTATCCGCAGGGTCTACCCCCATATGGAGTTCGCCTGCGCGAGTTGAACCTCAAGAGTCTTTTTTTACAGAAGGGTAGAAGCAGACTTGATTTCACCTATAAGATTCTCAGAGGGGAACTTCGTGTAAAGCCCTCAAGCTATTGGGCTTTTCGTTCGGTTTACGGACGGCATGGCGGTTTTGCTTTTCGACTCAAGCTACCGAGCGCAAATCGTCTGAGGTGTACGAGTTCCTTCATTTCAGAGTCGCCAAATGGCTGGAACGTTTGCCTACTAGTTTTTTATGCCTTAAAAATTCAGCACACTTCAAGATTGCCATCCGCAAAGTGGACATTTCACAAAAGCTAGGCATACGTGACGTGGAATGAATCATTTGTTGCTGTTCTTGTCTTTTTTATCACTCGCTTTTTGTTTTGACTGTATGTTCTCTGCACTGCAGTAATGTGAACAGGCTACCTTTTGTATGTTTTCCTAGCTCTCCCATGTCTTTCCAGAGTCTCTCAGCTCCGGGTGTACCTTTCGTCAGATAGCTTTTCTCATTTCTCATTACCTCTTCTAGTACCTCCAGTCAGGTTCTGTGAAGGATTTTTGTTCGAGTTGTTTCCGACCGTTGCACTACATTGGCGTTTATACTAGTATCTGGGGGCGTTGTGTTGTCTCTTCCGCCACTCCGGTCTGTCATGGCGGGTTCGTAGGGACGGGCGGGGGATTCGGTGAGCGGCGGTACTGGCAGCCCCCTGCCAGTACACCCGTTTTGGCTTATCTGGCGGGGGCGGCCAGTATAGCCGATCGCCGGGCCTCCGCTCGGTCCCCGCGACTTGGGATGCTTGATCGGGCTGACGGGCGAAGAGGAAATGAGGTGATCAACGTTTCTTTTATGTTTCTCTTTCATCCAGAGAGTGCATTGTCATTCTACACCCTGTTCTGATCTGGTTTCGTTGTATTGAAGCGCGCCTCTTGGCCTACGAAATAAATAAATAAATAAATAATACAGACATACATACATACAAACAGACATTCAGCTTTATATGTAAGATGATACCTTAAAGGCAGTGGATCGGCAAAATCCAACAACTCGGGATTTTAACGCGGTAGGTTCCTTATCGCCCAACCATGAAAACAGTGCAATCTCGGTTGCACAGCATGCTTCTCTCCGAGAAAATCGCTCTCGGAGTTACACGCGCAGGCCAATCTTACACGCATCTGGACGAGTTGGCAATTTCCTTGTCACCATTGGAGGCTGCCCGCCGCAACGCTATAACCATTGGGTCCTGCCACGATTTAGCGTCATCGGCCTTGCTCCACTCGTCCAATATCAAAGGAAAGGGCATTAAAAACGCTCATTTTCGCCGTTTTCAAGCTTTCAAAAGTGCATTTTCGGGATCAGCGTATTGGAAAACCCCAGGTAAGCGCAAATTTGACTAGGTTGAGATTTGCCGAGCCACTGCCTTTAAAGCAGGGATGAGCGTGGGGTCAGGCGGTCCCGATCTAGGAGGTCGCGTAGGGGAGAAGGGTAAGAGCAAGGGGACGGTCGCAATCAAGAAGCAAATTTGCTCAAAAAATTGAGGAAATCTACGTTCGAGTAAGGTGAAGAAGAAAAGGGCTCAACCGTGAATCTCACAACTCCGCCCGAGGAATGACTGTGTCGTGAACAACTAACCAAGTATCAGCCAAATTTCAATTCTTCATTTTACCTTACACAAACCGTGAGATGCTAAAGAAACCTTTCGTGTAAGTTGGGTATGACTTTCGTAATCTGCATGCCAAATTACCTCAAACTTCACAAACCATTACCTATTACAGTTGCATTGGACAGGTACAACAACAGCAGAGTAAGATTGGATTGACTGGACCTACCCAAGCTAACGTATATCTACCGTAACCCCACCAAAAGTCTCCAGCGAAGTGAATGCTATTTTCGTAATCAGCATGCAGAATAACCCTTTTGTGAACACTTTATATGATTTCCTATCACAATTTTCCATCTTCTCTAATGTCTGGAAAGTGCTGTTTTTAGGCATGAACTTGATTTCAACAATCACAAAAGTCAACCTTTTTACACTTGTTACAAAGTACTACTCTTCCCTAATATATCCTATCAATTTCGTCTCAAACCACTGTGAAGTAATTGTTTTATATTCCAAAAAAATTTCGACAATGGCGTTTCTCAACTCGAGTGAATTTAATGCATGAGCTCCTAGAAAGCCGAAACAAGACGAATCTGCTTCACACACTTGATAAGGGATTTACGAGGTCTGTGCTAATGAGTAATATAACACTTATTCAAGAGAGTTCATGTTGAGATGAAGTTAATGGGTTCAGGCGCAATCCCTCAAAAGCTCAGGCTGCCTGAGCTTTTGAGGGGTTGCGCCTGACCCCATTAACTTATCTTCAAACAACTCAAAACTTTCCACTTTCTCACTCAAACTTTTGATTGATCATTCCTCTGCCACAAGCGAAATTTTCCCGATTTCATGACTTCTTGAGAAGTTATCAGTGGTCAATCCTACCCATATCGAAGACGACCGTCGTAAATTCTCCGTTAATTGTGTTCTGATGTAGGAACGTATCCGTGCAAAGTTTCTGCAAGGGACGAAACGCGGCAAACCTCATTTTTTGACCGATCGTTCTTTCCCTCGTCGTCGCCGGCGGGCCGGCTCCAGTGTAAATTTTTACTTTCTTTTTCTGTTTACTTTCTTTCTTTCCAGTTTTCCTGTCTTAAATCCTTTGTTGTCTCCTCCTTTCCGCTCTTTACAAGCAATTTGCAGCTTTTTATTGGATATTGTTATAAGCAACTTTTTCAGCAACATTGTTGCTGCAAGGCTGTAGCAGATGCTGTGCGAACATCACTTAGCCCTCGTGGTATAGATAAGATCATTTAATTTGGTAATGGAGATGTTACTATTACCAACGACTCGACCAGAAACTGTTGGTTCAGATGTTATGCTATGCTTATTTTTCTATTTGTGAATTTCATAGATTGAAAACATTTTTTGTTGCAGAATTTCTTTTTTCTCCAACACATTGCCTTCGGTTTTGTGGTGGAACACCGAGTTCGACCGGTCGAGGTAGAAGCTTTAGTCAAGGAGGTAACGATTTTAGCGTTCGCGCAAGAGTCGAAATCGCGAGTCTATGGCACGCTTTGCTGTAAATGTTGCAGAAAGGTCAGGGATACGACTAGTTATCATTTATTTTTTTGGATATAAGTACTACTGCGAATCCGATCAGGACGCTCTCTAGTACACCGCGAAAGCATCGTGTTGGATTGTCATCGCGGCAGCATTTTGACTTGGAAGTCACAGAATCTGAGCGAGGTGGCTCACCGCCAACGGGCTTTAGTCTGTCTCCACAGCCTCAGCTTGAAGATAACCTTTTCAAAGGTCAGAGATCTCACTTTCTGTGGCCGTATTCATCAACGAACCCAGTGGGTTCCGCTACCCAGTGGGTAAAAGAAAACAGTGCCACTGGGTTGGATCGATATTCATAAAAAGCACTGCTGGGTTCGCAAACCCACTAGCTTCGTGAATACCGATATCGTGTGTTAAGCCTACCCAGTGGGTTCCGATACCCATTGGGTAGGCTTAACAACAGTGGTCTTATGAATACGGCCACTGTTGTGCTCCCACAAGCTTTATGTTTTTGGGTAGATGTTTTTGATACGTTCCACTTTTTTCGCTGAAAATAGGCCTTTTATACATGCGTTACTATGAAGTTCGATTTCTATCTCTTGCAATTAACTCAACATCGATACCAATTTCCTCTTTTTGTCTAAAAGCTAGAACTTTCAACACTATTTGGCAGCAGTTTATGGTCAAAAGCGATTTGACGTTTTTCTCAGTATCATTCCTCTCTTTGAACGCTTTTGAAGGAAATGGGCTGTTGTTATTTCATAAAGTTTTTCCGCTTGTTTAGAGGCACTTTTTGAAGTCGTAAGATTGAAGGACCAGGTCTGCGAAGGCTACGAAGCGTTGAGCCTCCAATGAAAATGCAAGGACCTACCCTGCGAAGACTGCAAAGGGATGAGCCTCCGATACCTGAGGAGTCATCTAATGAATTGTCTTCTTTGGAACGCTAGAATTTTTAACACTATTTGGAAAGAGATGTATTTGAGCAATTGCTTTGCGAGTCTTTTCTTTTTTATATTTGCAATCTTTTGACTTGTTGCGAAAATTTCACAAAGCTTCAGTCAGTCAATGCAGCAAGGCAACAAGCGCCATTCCTTCCCTAGCAAGTTTAGAAGAAATCGAAATGGGAGCAGTACCGTCGATGTACGAGACACCATCGAGGAGCCATCATTTTCCTGTTGAGATGCAGTACTCTACTCCTACTAATGAGACTGCGTCTACAGAAACCATTCCGAAGCTAAAACTGGTAAGTAGAGCTGTTTTTTCCTTTTGCATAATAGTTAGTAAGCACCTGCTACTTTAGTCTCCGAAAGAGGATGTGGACACCGATGACTCTTTGCATTTTCCTCTGCTTCTGGAATCGAGCCTATGGCTAGATTGAAAGTTAGATTCCCTTTGCTTGTTATGTGTAATGTGTAACTCAGCCTTTTTGGGTTTTCGACGCTTGAAACGTTTTCCTTTGAGGTAAAAAAGACCAATGACCATGTTGAAGTTACTGCCAAAGCTGCCTGTATCAGAAGGTAAGTTCGCTGCGTAGACAATCTACACACTCTAACTGCAGTGTTTTTAGAACCTCGCGTTGCTTTAGGTGGAATTTCTCGACTTAGTGAGTGCATTCCATGTTTGATTTTAGTCTCATAAATCTGTAAGTCGCATTTGAGACATCGGCGATGGTAAAATCATACCTGTGAGAAAAGAAACCCTAGGACCTGTACCAGAGGAAGATCGCATTGGAATAACTCAGCCGGATCGTCTTTTGTTAGATGCAGTGAAATTACGGGTAAAACAATATCAGCTGCGTAGTCTGCTTAAGTTCACCTTGTGCATTACAGATACGGTCCCTAACGCGTTATCCATTGTTGAAACAGACATCGTAGTTGAAACACATAAACGAAGCCTTGTTGAGGACGTGCTAGCCATAAGTGTTTCATCATTATATATTTGGTTTCACATCCATCGCCTTCTTTACATCGTCTTGTTTGATTTTATAAAGTGAGATTCTAGTGTTGTTTTTTATGGAAGATTTGAAGATTGCTTCGTCCTCATGATCGATCACAGTTGCTCCTCCAGCTGGCCTCTGTTCATTTTTCCCCTATCTGTCATGCACAAAAGCTATCAGTGATAGCTTTTGTGCATGACAAAACACACGCTTAGCTTTGTATTCTATATGGACAAAAAATTGTAAAGTCGCAAAAGCAAAAGTTATTTGATTGATTTGCAAACAAGGATCCTTGGTGCATTAGCAGCCAACTTGTGTGGGAACACAGAATTTCTGCTTATAAAGGAGCTGAGTGAGTTTTAGTCCTTTTTCATTTGATTTTTGATGACTAATGACTTCAGTCCGTCTTGGTTTGTTGCAGATCTGATGGATATTGCCCGTAAATACTTTAGAGATGATGACGTGATCACGCGGGATCACGATGTTCCAGACACTTGGTTCAAGTAACTGCTAAGTTGTTCAAAATTCCAACCGACTGGGCCATCGAAACCTTCTAGTTTGTCATTGATACCGCTAGTAACTGCAGAATGGCCAAGTCCTGATTTCAATCCATTTTTCGACGTTATGGAGACTGGCTGGGATATCCTTGGATTTTGTGTAGGTAAGATGATCATAACGGCAATGAGGTGTGCCTGTTTACCATCTAAATAAACTCGTTTATTATTGAATCCTATTAAGAACTAGCTTGCTCCGGCCTTGTCAAAACGCTGTAATAAAGGTCCCATCCCTATCCCTGTACAGCCTCTCCCTGTGCCCATTTCTACACTTCATTTCCCGCTCCCTGTGTTGTTTTCGAAATCAGCATGCCCACTTACCCCCTGTGCCAACTCTCAGCCCCTCAGCTCAAATTTTGAAAAAATCAGTAAAATCGATTAAAGTAATGGATAATTTTAGAAACTAATATTGTATTCGGAATCGCCATGCTCACTTACCCCCCTGTGCCAGCTCCCAGCTTTGTGGCTCAAACTTTGCAAAAAATCGGTAGAATCGATAAAAGTAATCGGTAGTTCCGCACAGTGTAATTCTTGGCAAAATGTCCGACAACAACACTAGATGTTGGTAAGTCATGCTTATCAGATTCCGATTGACCACTGGACCAAACAAGTTCAGTTTTTAGTTAACTAGCATTTTCTACCTCTTCCTCATGAAGTTTCCAGCTTTTCTGATTTGAAATGATTTGTGCAGCTCATATGTTTCATTTGCGGCTAAAAGAAACAAGTCCACCTCTCGGCCACTACCGTGCTCAAGCGCGCTGACTGGTTCGAGGCTACGGTACTGGGCGATAGAGTTGATTATCTCAGCCACGAATATTTTATACGAGCTCGTTTGCCCTGAATTTGGGAGTAACTACTTTATTCTCAATTTCCAACTGTGGGGAATCAAATGCTTACAAAAATCAAAGCTCCTAAAGCTTTCCAGTGTATTGAGGGCCATGCTACTATGATTTTTTCTCATTTGAGCATTTTTGGCATTGCTGTCGCGCACTCATTGTCTTCCTTGGAGTGAATCCACAATGATACACTTGTTCCGGTCCTCATGCCGTTTCTTTTGAAATTATTTCAATTTTCTTCGCTGGAAAGTGAGAAAACCCTAGCGCTTTTCTACCATCAAATAAGCTAGGTCTACCCTTGCTGGATAGTGCAAAAAATCTGCAATCCTTTTTGCTTCAAAGTTTTATATGGCACGGAAGGGCCGCGACAATCATTCAAGTTCGCAACTGAATTTCTCGGCTCAGAATCCATGGAAAATTTTGTTAAAATACATCTTGTAGCACAAAGTTTCCCAATCCTTATGCATATTTTCTGAAATTAATACGGCTATTCCTCATGGATTTAGGGCAAAAAGAGAGAAAAGCAAAAATTTTGGGATTTGATCTCTTTCATTTGAAGGCTCACAACTTTGGAATGAACGAAGATTTACAAAAGCGAAGACCGCATAAGAAACTATAAAAAACGCTCTTTTAGATAGTGTAGAAAGTTTATGAGGAAATTGATTACTCATCAAACACCAGCTCTTGGAAGAAGAGGTATGAAAAACGTGCATTAATTATGAATCAACCTAATATTTGACGGAGCACTGGTTGACCAGAAAACTATGGGTCGTGGAGGCCCGACAGGCGTGGAGAAAGCGAAAATAGGCATAATGTAGTTGCTTGAACCAGAGTTCATGCAATAGTGTCTGTACGGAATTTTTCAGGTGGAAAACCAAGTTATCATTTCGGATTACACCCAAATGGATCGTGCATTGGAGAAAGAACGTCGGTACTTCCTCGATCTTTGTAAGCAGATTAAGAAAGCCGGACGCAATGTGCTCCTGATTCAAAAGAGCATTGTCAGGTGTGACTTGCGTGAGGTAGATGTTTTCGAAAATACACTATCAATCTTTTTATTGTTTGATTACGGGAAGAATGATGATAGACATCATCTTTCATGGCACAGGCCTTGCAGTATTGGCTCCTCAATAGGATAATGGTGAGTAGAACTTGTACTATTGATGTTAGGCATGCTTCGGATGCAGTTACGCTTGTGTTATGAAGGAGTTCACAAAACTGCGCCAGACATCAGGATTATAAGAGAGAAAGTGGAGGTCACAGGTGTCAAAATGGTAGGTTGAATCCTGAATGTCTTATAAATTTTTTTTGATAATAGTTGTTTGATGATTCTGTGATACTGTTAGACGACTAGGTTGGAAATTGCCTTCTTGGAACGGCATTCCCCAAACGAACTAAAACACTTCGACAAAAAAAATTAAGAAGAGAGCGCATTATCGATCCTTATGATAAGTATCAATTTTAGACGGGCACGCTTATATTAGGCGAGCTAATGTTTCCTGGTCTATAGTGGGAGGACCAAAATTAGGATAATGAAGATGTTCAAGCAATGGACCAACAAGTGGAATCACATGCGGTGGCGACCAATGAAGAAAACTATGCTGAAGTATAGTACGTCATTTTGACTCTAGTCTATTGCGCAAATGAGTGTATTGATCTGTGCGGTTGTATTTTCGGGTGAGAGCGAAGAACGCCCTTCCGATGAGACCGAAAGTGTGGCACCTAAGAAAAGCAAGAAGGTGTTTGAAGCAATGTGATTGAATTAAGTTTGTTAAGAAAAATTGCCTAGGTTACATTACAGAATAGTTCAATGCATGCCAGGACTAAGCGGACTAAGGGGCCAGTTTCAATGTTTACTTTAGTTACCAACTTTAGTTACTTTAGTGTTTTTTCTCTCCAAGTTTTATTTTTATATTCTTGTACTTCATTAAGTTGGTGCTAACTTGATCTGAGTCAACTACCGGTACTATTTTAATTTGTATCTGAACATATCGTCTCAACATTGATATGTTTTTGCTGATAAGAATCAATCAGCGATTCATGTTGGAAGCTTGATTAATTTACAACGTTTTATCCGCTTCTGAACCTTAACTTTTCCTGAAGTAATACATTTCAACTGACAATTCTAACATGAAATTCAATAGCGTTCAGAGGGTAATACTGAGCTGTATTTCAGCTAGTGAGTATTCTTCTAAACACAGTTGAGCTAAGAATAGTGTCAGTTTTGGTAATGAATTGAAGAGACGAAAACTAAGCCAGTTTAGCACGTACCGTTTTGTCATCAATATCTTTCTTGTTTGTGGAATGGGTGCTATGATAATAAGACTGCAATGCCGGTGTATCGGTTTATTTTGAAAAGTCGATGACTGCGACTCTCATCGCTCAGCCTGATGTTATAGGAAGGGAATAGGTTATTAGAGTAGAGGTACCCATTCTATCATCGGGTCCAATGTCAAGTGACTTACGAGGTAAACAACAGTCATAAATTCAAATCTAGTCTTGTAAAATAGCTGAGTAGTATATTGCATATGTGCGGTAATGGAAAAGTACTGTAGTTGTGGTAGGTAAGGAAACGAACGCGCTTACATTAACTAAAAATTATAATCATATAGTATAGTGACAACAATTTCATGGGAATGCTATCTGTCAATAGCTGACTAGACTAGTTGGACTTAATGTGCCAGTTGGCTTAGTAGTAAAATTACACGGGCTGCTTTATAATACAATTTGAAAAAAACAGAGTCCTGACTAAGGTTGCATATCTTCTACTTAGATAATAGCCGGGGGCAGGCGGTCCGCAAACTCGCGCTTTTCTGCAGGCGGTCAGCGGAATTTTAAGACGTGGCCAACCCGTAGTGGGAGGTAATTCCTTTCACCTGTATCACCTGTATCCCCGTTGATCATCGTGTTGCACGAGTGGGTACCAGTGATGCCTCCATTCGTCCCTGTCTCGGGCGATTGTTGACCAGTGTTTACGTATCGCACCAGGAACACGTGGAACGCTCTGAAGGACTTCATTAGAGGACTTCGTGAACATATGTGACAATCGCGTCGGCGGTATTCCTCGTTCGCGTTTGACGTCCAGTGGTATCCAATCTGTTACAGCTCTCGTCCACCGGTTGTCGTCGAAACGCACTACGTGCCCGGCCCATCTTATCTTGTTCTGCTTGGCGTAAGCGGCAGCGTCCATGATTTTCGATCGTTGACGTAGGGTAGAACTTCGTAATCCTTGCCTCACTTGCGTGAGTCGATTCACTCCTAGCATCACTCTCTCAACAGCTCGTTCGATGACGCTAACCGCGTGTTCATCCTGCTTTTTCAGTGTCCATGTTTCTGAAGCGTACGTCAAAGCAGGAAGAACCGTCGAGTTGAAAAGGTGGGCGCGGAGCCGGATGTTCTTGGTCTTCTCACTATGTCCTCAATTGTCTTATATGCTCCCCATTGCATGTTTCCTCCTGCTCAGTTCCGGAGCTAGATCGTTCATCATATTGAGTTCACGACCTAGGTAGGCGTAGTTTGAGCATTCGGTGATGTTCGTCCCGTTAAGCAAGGAGCATCACACTCTTCCGTTTCTCATGAACATCGTCTTCGTTAGATTCAGCCGTAGACCGATCTTTCCACACACTTCGTCAAACTGGGCCAGCATTTGTTCCGCCTGCGTGATGCTTGGTGTTATCAATACGATGTCAACAGTAAAGCGAAGGTGGTGTAGCTGCCGGCCGTCAACTTTCACTCTCATGTTGTCCCATTCCAACTTACGCATGACGTTCTCCAAAGCGGCACTGAATAGTTTCGGCGATATAGTATCGCCTTGTCGCACGCCTCTCTTCACATCGATAATGATGTCCTTGTAGAATGGTGTTATAGTGGTTGTGAAGTTGTTATACAGCTCACGAATTATCTTGATGTAATGAGTCGGAATACCTTGATTGCTCAAGGCATCGATGACGGCTTCAGTCTCAACCGAGTCAAATGCCTTCTTCAAGTCGATGAAGGTGAGACAGAGCGGCATCTTATACTCTCGTGACACTTCAATGAGCCTTGACACCGTGTGTATGAGGTCGATCGTGCTGAATCGTCTTCAAAACTCAGCTTGCTCGCATGGTTGTCCTTCGTCCAACTCTCTTCCGATCCTGTTGAGAATAACTGTAAAGAGTTTGTAGACTACACACAACAAGCAGATAGGGCGATAATTGCCGATGTCGCAGGGATCTCTCTTCTTGTACAGCAACACGGTTTTGCTGGTCTTCCATTGTCTTGGAACCTTGCCTTCCGTCAGGTACCGCGTGAAGAGCCTTGCCAAAGTCTTGATGAGAACTGGCGAAAGATTCTTCAGATGTTCTGGCTTAATCCTGTTGGGACCGGGTGCTGCACGGTTCTTCATTGACATGATAGCATGACGAATCTCGGAAGGAAGAACAGACGGTGCGGCATACTCGTTTTCCTTGAGATGGCGTGGTGGAACGTGGACGTGGCTCGTAAAGAGATCCGAGTAGAAGTCGTGGATGATCTTCTCCATTGATCTTCGGGAAGCAGTTATTGTTCCGTCAGGACGACGAAGTGCGGTCATCTTTGTCTTGGAGTTGACGAAGCTTCGGCGGGCGTTGCATATACTTCTTCCAGCCTCTGCGGCGTCAACCATCACTGCTATTCTTCTCTCCTTGAGGTCTTCTTTTATCGCTTCTCTGCATCACTTCGCAAGCTCGGACGTCAGTCGGAGTTGCCTTTGGCTCGTGCGCATCCACGTTGGCGTATCAGCTCCAAAGTCTCCGTGGTGAGACGCCTTCTCGTATTCCTTAGACTCTGAGCTTCCTTGGCACAATCGTGGAGATGTTGTACGAACCGTTCGTATTCTTCGTCGATGTTGTCCATCACGGTATCTCGCCATGAGCCGGATATCGAAGAAAATTCCCAGTTGGTGGTATTCATGAAACGATGTTTCCTGAACTTGACGGCTCTCTCTCCATTCCGCGGAAAGTAGAATTTGGCGCGTAGGAGACGATGGTCTGATCCCGTGTAGAACTTTGAAACAACAGCAACGTCCGTCAGGCAGTACCTTCTGTTGACGATGATGTGGTCAATCTCGTTATGGTACTCTCCACCAGGCGATTCCCAGGTCCAGCGTCGGGAAGAGGGCTTTTGGAACTGTGAGTTTCCATGGATAGTCCTCGTCGCCATGATAAACTCGGACAGTCTTTCCCCTTGTTCGTTTCACTCTAAACCAGGGGTTCCGATGTGAAGTTCCTCAGGCGACCTTCTAGTTCCGATCTTCGCGTTGAAATCACCGACGATGATCTTGTAGAAGGTATGATCTTCTCTGTAGAACTTCTCCAAATCCACATAGAATTCCTCGAGTTCGTCCTCGTCGTAGCTGGATGTTGGGGCGTACGCAATGAAGACGGTCAAAGCAGGAATTGACCCACATCTTGATATTCGCAAACGTCCGATTCGAGTTGTAAGTTGTTCGAACGAATCGATGTTCATGGCCAAACTCATGTTGACAAGGACTCCCACTCCACCTACTCCTCGACTGTCGCATGTTCCTAGGAACAGTTTTTCTCCAGTCTCAAATGTGGCGTTCAGCGTGTGGTGCCTCCTTGTCTCGGTCAGTCCGATGACGTCGTACTTTATCTTCCTTGCTTGCATCATGAGGTCTTTAGATGCGCCAGCGTCCTCGCGTTGTAAGTACAGATCGCCATCATAGTCCGTCTCGTTTTCGGCAACCTAGATCGGCCTTACCAGTGGCTCTTCCAAGATTGAAGGAGCTTTCCATATTATCACTGTGTCGAACAAGTTTTTACTCGCAGGGATAGGTTGTTGGGCTCAAAACCCCCGCGAGGGACGATCGAAGCTTATTTGTTGGAGGCTACTCCGAACTCGCCTCCCCACACACCTACCCGGAAAATTTGAGTGCAAGCTTTTAGTGGAGGCAGGGAGTCCGTCCCTCGGCTCCGCTTGCTTATCAGAGCAGGCGAGGGGTCGCTTTTGGTCGGCGATTATCCCCCTATCCGCCACCTGGGGACGTCCCACGTAGCCTTGCGACTAACCCGCTGTGATCCCTCTATGAGGGAGATCCGTGGCTATGAGGGAGATCCGTGGGAAGGGAATTCCTTTACGGTCGCATATTCTGCCAACGGGCAGCAATAAGCATTTTTTGCGAGCGCTCGGCAAATAAATTTTTTCAGCGAGCGTTGGCCAAACTTTCAGCAAGCGCTCGAACTCTTTTTACGCAGTTTCGGGCATACGCCAAGCAAAGGTGAGACTCTATGTGGCAGGGGAGACGGTCGAATGGCGCGTATTGATCGATTGTCACCAATCAGAAAAAAAGGAAAAAAGCTGGAATTTGGTTTAGTACTTCCTTCCGGAATTTTAATTAGTAATCCTCTATTACTATCTCTGATTGGGATTTTGAAAACCTCTTTTTTTGTACAGTACAAATCCCTGCTGGCAATGACGACTGTCGAAACGCGCGCCTTTCGACATACACCCATGTGGCAGACGTGTCATCGGTGGTTTAATTACCCGAGTTTGGG